TTAAAAAAAATTTTGTACTTGTGTACTAAAAAAGAAAGAGAGAGAGAGAGGGAGAGAGAGGGGGGCATAAATTTACCATGGGTGATTGACGTAAGACTAGCTGTAGATGAGGCTGGGGATACAATGGGACCACATGGTGACTGTTGAAGGGATGATGGAGGAGAATCCTGTTGTGAAGACTGTGCTGAGTGGGAATGAAGAGGAGATGTCTGGTTTTGCTGTTGTTGTAGGTGTAACCTTTGAAGATGCTGGGTTAAAGTTGAATTGTTGGTGTCTGAACGAGATACTCTATAATGACTGGGTGAACCTGTTTTTTTGATAATTTTTTTAAAGAAAAAGGTTAAAAACAAATGTAGTAGAAACAGAGGATAAGAAATCTGACATCATTTTAACATGGAAATAAAAATGTAAGTTGAACATACCAGCAGGACTTAGAGGAAGCACTGGCGGGCTTGGAGATGGGCTACTCAAAGGAGAGGCCAATCTCTGCTGCATGTGATAAGAGTGGAGTTTCTGAAGTTCTGCTTGGGAATGGGCGTCCCCAGATTCAATGCTGTGTTTTTGCTGCGAACAGATTGAGGGTTATTTTTAAAATGACATATTTGTTTTAAAAAAGTAGAAAAGCAATAACTGCTTCTTTATAAATAATCACCTGCAACTGTTGGCATTCTTGTTGAAGTGACCTCAAATTTGCTTCCCCATTATCTCCTGGTGAATTTGTACGGTGATATGATAAGCTACTAAGTGTTCCTGCTGAGCCCTCGCTCGCTCTACGGACAGGACTATATCTTTCTTGAGGAGGATGCAACGATGTCACTTCCTTTAAAGTGTCTCTCCCTCCTGGAAGCCAAAAGTTAGTCAAGCTTCTTTTATGACAAATGGTCCATAAAATTTCTTACCAATAATCCCTATTTCTCTTATTCTCACACAAACATTACATTTTGATTGAGTTTAATTTTGCTGAAATTGGAAAACTTTGTCTTGGCAGTAATTTATAGGAAAGACCAAGATTGACAGCATAATATATGGACATAAAAACCATGTTAGAATGAAAACAATAACAAAAGCATCACTTTAAAAAATTATAAATTTACAGACACGAAATAACATCTAAACAAACAAAAATGTACGGTAGTTAAACTTAGAAAAACAAAACCAGCTTAGATCCTACTTTAAAAGCTGCAAAAGGTGAGGACAAAAGTGCAGAGAAAAAGAGAGACGCAAATAAAACAACACACCATGCAAAAAAAGAGTGGTACATTGACAAGCTATAGAGGGCTCTTGACAAGGCAATATACCTTGTCAAAAAAAGTAATAATGAACAGAAGCCTCAAACATCAAACATAAAACAATGATTTATACAGAGTATAACATACCCCAATGCGTTCTCCTAAGCTATTTCAAAAGATGAGACTAACTTTCAAAAATAGATAAATAAGCAAGTATTAAAGAAAGGAGAGGGGTTAAACTTTATTGTCTTTTTTTTTTAAACAGAGAGGCTATAAGACAGAAGAACTAATCTTCTGCTCAACTTACCTCAAAGAAAATTTCACATTTAAATTTGAGCCCCATTACTGTTATTTAAATGCTTGTCTTTAAACCAATTCAAGCCAATAAAATCATTATTAGCAGTTTCAGGCAGAAAAGCCTGGATTATTGTATAAATCAAGGTGATTTACCTATTCTGCTTCCTTCTTGAACTGTGGCTAAGCCTGAGGGAGCCTTTTTAGCTCGAGTGTGATGAAATGCTTTGGCTCGATTGGGCACCGATTTGACTAGTGTTGGCGGTACATGAGCACGGTTCATACGCGCCTCCACCTCCATTATCAGCTCCGGACTAATAACTGCAGGTAGATGGGACATGCGTAGAAGTGCGAGTGAGCAACACAAAGTGTGGACCAAATGCAAACCAGGCACAAACCAAAACATAAAAAAAAGGAAAAGAAAACAACAAAAATTAATTGAAGCAGTGAGGAATAAAAAGCTGAACTGATCACACACAACTCATGATGTTAAGCTGCAGTCCAAATTGAAACTCTGTAGTTAACATACTCCAAGCTACAAGTACTTTAGACATGGCTGTGGGACGGCACAGGCCTGATTATCATATAATAGCTGCTTCTAACACCAAGAGCTTTTGTTTACGAGCAGGCTGTGCAGTTTATGAAGTAGACAACTTGGACAAGACATGTAAACAATGTTTCGCAATGAGTAGCACTTTTTCAACACCATAGAATGAAGCAGTAATGCTTTTCAGCTCGGAGGACCTGACATGAAGCCATAAAACTCTGGCCAGCTTTGGCCTTTGATTGTAGCTGCACAGCCCACCACCAGTACTATACAAAAAGCATAAATTAAATAATTTCAACAAGAGTTTAGTGAAAATGTTGATTATTAAAACAAACGTAACCATAATGAAGGTGAATGTGTGCAAAACTATAAGGAAATATTTATAATTTTTGAAAATTCTTTCTCACGAGTTTATAGTACAAAATCCCGATATAATTTACAAACCAGAGGTAAAAGAATAACACAAATTCAAAATGAAAAGAGAAATAAGAAAAACATGTGGAGAAACCCTATGCACAGAAACACTCCAATGTCCAAAACAATCCAGAAAAAGAAAGATTTTATGTACAGAATTCAAAATACCTAGGCTTACATATCTTTTGACTCTACAAAAGGAGAGTCGACAAATCAAAGAGTAATAAAAAAAAAAAAAGTCTCAAATTTTTTCCCAGTATGGTATTTACAATGAATGAAGCGTAAAAGTGAATTTGAGCTTCAGAGAAGATTATGCACACTTCTTTTACTTTGGAAAAACAATTACTAAAATACCTATTAAATCAAACACTCCTCATGCTAACTCATGCAACTTACAAATTTTACTACTATCACAGTGTGAAAAAAATGTTTTACTCTTTTTACAAAAGAAATAATAAAGAAAACTAGTTGAATTGATCAAAATAAGTAGCAGTGTGAAAAACAAATTTGGAAAGATGACACAATGAAAGCATGCTTTACCTGGGCGTTCCATTGTCACTGCATGAAGACCCGTTCGTCTAGTCCTTGATGGAACCTGAGAGTTTTGCTGGGGTTGAGATTGTTGTTGGTGCTGCAGAAGCTGCTGCTGAAGTTGCTGCTGCTGTAACATCATTTTCCGTTGAGCTTCTTGAGCTTCCTCTGGACTGGCCATAGTATGGCGCTTAGATGATCCTCGGGTCTGCATGTATCTGAAAAAAAAAAAATACCACCATTACACAAATGAAACAAAACAATTAAAAATTAAATCTAACAAGGACTTTGAATAAAATTGCAAGCAATTATCATACTTTAACACAGCACAGTTGTCATGAGGAAGTTCTTCCATAGATGTGGCATCTGACAAATGTACAATTCCTGAAAGAACTCCAGAGACTCCAGCCATTGCCACTTCACTGGATGCGCTCATTGTTGGGATTGAAGAGGTCAGTGTTTGTGAGCCTTGAGAATGAGGAGGACTACAATCTGACTGAACCTACAAAATGAGTGTTGGGATTAAAATGTAAAATTTCTAATTAAGGGAGAAATAAAGACACAAAAATATCAAATACATAAGAAATCTTACTAGTTGAATTTGATCTTGACTGCCAGGTTGACTCCAGCCTTCAAAATACATCTGCAGATTTGCACCACCATCTGAGGCTCTTCTACCAAACCCTCCCACTGTAAAAACCACAAATCAAATAAAAATCTATAGGTCAAAACACCCACAAAAGATAACACATCGAAAGAAAATGAGCTTACTTGCTCCCATTACGGGTGGTGGTTTCAAAAGATGCTGATCTTTAAAAGTGAAATTTTGCGGTGGCTGGTTTTTGACAAGTGGTAAATTTAGAGGTAAGTTAGTATTTGGTAAAATGCCAAAAGGTGTTCCTGCCTGCAATCCATCTGTGCGGTAAGAAGGTAGAATGTGGTGGGCGTCTAGTACTTGCTCATGAGCAGTATCACCAGGTCCAACAGTGTGCCTGCGGGTGGCGTGATACTTGTCACCACTACTCGAACTACCACCACTTCCTCTCCGAAGAGAATGCTGAGCAAATGGTAAGAGATGATCATGGTCTTGGTCTGCTTCAGGTAAACTATCTGTGTCCCCGAACTGAATCAAAAAGTAAAGACTGTTAGTAAAGGCTCAGTAGGTGCAGTACAATAAAGTTGTTGTAGGTGTAAGCCCTTACCGTTTCCAATAACTGAGAATTTGAAAATGTGCATTCATCAGGAATAACAGGCATTGACATAAGGGGAGAATTTGTGGGGGCAAAGGGTTCAAACTCATTTAAAGGACTACGATCCACAACACCTAAACCAAAAAATCAATACAATATTGGTAAGTCGGACATTATCAATAATCAAAGAAGAGTTCAAGCTACTTACCTGTAGTAATACTAGCTTTGCGCTGCATTAACCCTATGGGACGAGCTGGGCCACCTTGAGACCTCTGCTCTAATTTGTCCACAAGTAAGTGGTAAATAGCACTAATATGATCAAAATTCTTCTCTTGCAAAGACTGAAATAAAATTCAAACAAGAGCAATAAAACACTCAGAACATTGTTCTGTGTAAAAATAAAACATACCAGAGTAGCAGGTTGTTTTTTGTTTTTTTTGTTTTTCTTTGTTTTATTTTTTTAAAGCAATGGTCTTGTATAAGGTACCTGAATAATCATTTCACTGGTCAATCCTGGTAGTTGCAGCATGTGTTCCATCACAAGCTTATTAAGTGGTTCAGGTTCGGGTTCTAATTCTGCTACAGGATAACATGGAGGTCCACTAGTTGGTTGACCCTAGTGCAAGGAATAGACTGATTAATAAAAGAAAATCTAAACTGGCAGTGGTATAGGGTGGATTTTGAGGGAACAAGCTTTAACTCATACCTCAGTCATCCATTTATGTCTAAATATTTGTTTTATGCTGTATCTTTTTTCTGGCTCAACAACCAGCATATGTTTTATAAGATTTTCACAATCTGAAAAAAAAAAAGTGAAATATTGAATTTGTTGGTAAAGTTAATAGTGCAATTAAGAATTTTAAAAATAAATTAATGAAAAAATGGGAGCCATTGAACTTACCCATGCTCATAAAGAAAGGTATCCTAAACATTCCTGAAATAACATTTTCTCGAAGAGCTTGGAGGGTTGCACCGTCAAATGGGAGTGTTCCACACACTAAGACATACAGCACTACACCAAGACTCTGTTTAACAGAAGATTGATTCAAGAAAATTACCTTCCCGTAAAGCTAAAGCCACAAATAGGGGACCATACACATACCCAAACATCAGCCTTAGGCCCGTTATACTCCCGGCCCTCAAACAGCTCTGGCGCTGCGTAAGGAGGGCTCCCACACCATGTTGACATCATTTGACCTTGCTTAAAATGATTACTAAATCCAAAGTCTGGGAAAAAATAGTAATCAGATATTAGTTAGATGGAGTGAATAAAATGACAAGACATGAGTTTGTGGTGAACAAAAGATATACCTGCTAACTTAATATCCATTTTTGAGTCTAAAAGAAGGTTTTCTGCTTTTAAATCTCTATGTACAACATTGTGTGAGTGACAGTAATGAACAGCTTCAACAATTTGGTGAAATACTCTACGAGCCTCAGACTCATCCATTTTTCCTTGTCCCACTAAATAATCTGTAGTACAAAAATCAGAATAAATTTCAATGTTTTAATTAAGGATGCAAAAGACTTATTAAGAAGAACAACATTCAACATGATACACACCAAATATTTCTCCACCACTAGCATATTCCGTAACAAGATATATAATTTTTTCAGTCTCCATTACCTAAAAAATTCAAATTTTATGAAAAATCCATACTTTTAAAGAACTAGGCAATCTTTGATGCTTCTTATTCTCCTTACCTGATACAGTCTTATGATGTTTGGATGTCGTAATTTTGTCATAATTTGAATTTCCCTAAATATTTTTTTAAGATTCTCTTCATCTAATCTTGTTTTGTCTATGATTTTAATAGCAACCTGCAACAACAAAGAAAGAAAGTCAATTAGTTTTAGATAAGGAACAGGAGGAAATTGGTAACTCTTCTTTTAGCAATACCAGGAACAGGACAATTTAGCACTAAAAATGAGAAAGAGACTTCGATCATTTTTCTTCATTTAAGCGATAACTTAGATAGTGTATCGACAGTGGCAAGCGAACACTTCTAAAGGCACTGAATGAAGCATCTATCAAGAATCTTCATTAAGCACGGCGAGATTCTAGAACTGTGACGCGTCCTCAAAGAGACGCAGTCATATAATATCGAACCGTTACTTTACCAGTGAGTCCCCCTTTTCCCGTACACAGACGACGCTTACAAAAAAGATCCACTACAGCTCTATCTCGTATGGCAAACTCCGCTTGGTCAACGCCAAGGCAAGCGCTGAACTCGACACAAACTGCAGAACAGACATACTGTGGGATGGCCAACCAGCGGGCCAGGATTTATATGCAAGGCAAAGTCGGCTGGGTGGGGGTGAGGGAAGGGGGAGCCATAAGGACTCTGAGGGAAGTCCGGAAGTTCGGGCGAGACGCGTCGCGGCAT